TGATAAGAAAATGAGTCATGTAGCAAAGGTACATGGAAAGACAAAGGCCCTTACAGGAAGGGAAGGGTCCTGATTCTGTGGGCATGGGATGCCCACTGGACTTCCTGGGCCAGGCCTGCTAATAACAACATAAGCTCGAGTTATTGTTTATCCCTGGGAGTGGCATGGAAGGCCTGGCCTTCTTCAGGTGCAACCCTAGCCACAATTCTGATAGTTTCATTTTTTTGTCCTGATTTCCCTGTGTGCCAAGTCACTCTCTGATTGTGGATTAATTTCTAACTTAGTTGCTGATAATAGCAGGGGGGCTAACAGACACTTATTTCCAGACTCCATCTAAATTTTCTTCTGCTGGTCTTTTGGCACCCTGGTATCAGGCTAGACTTCTTCCTGGCATGGCTCTGTGAGGGAAGAAGGCCACCCATCTTCAAGGACCTAGTCCCACCTGGTCCTCAGTCCCTCCTGACATCTGGGAGGCCCAACAAGAACGTAGATTGGTAGCAACACTCTGTATATCTGCTCAAAAAATTTGCATAACACCAAACTCCTTAATTTAAAATTTCTTTTTGTTAATTTTTTTGATATTTCAGACCACTTGAGATTGTATTCAATGTCTATTTGACAATAAAAATATATCACTTAATTTTGTGGAGGCTACCATTAAAACCTAATTCATTGAATGGGTAGCCAGATTAGGAACCCTCAAATCTACTATGAGGATCTACTATTAAACATATGGATAACAAATTTTATGCAAAATATTTCCTGATAGAAGAGATAAAGTAGTCTTATTGTATATACATGAAATTTGAAAGCCCATGTCCAAATATGGAATGCTGTCATGCTTACAAACTTTAGCTCAGACTGCTGTAAATCTAATAATAATATGGTTATTATAATCATAAATATATAGTGTCTGGGAAATTAGGTAAAACTATTTACACAAATCAGACCATAATTTTTTTAAATGTATTTGGCACAGGGTCTCATTATGCAGTTCAGACTCATAGTGATCCTCCTGCTTTAGCTTCCCTAGTGCTGGGATTATAGGTGTGCACCACCATGCCTGGTCTTGGTGGCTGGCTCAGTGTGCCCAAGGGTCAGGTTAGCATGGAATGTGGTTCAGGGATCAAACCCTAGTCCTTGTGCTTGCCTAAGCAGGTGCTTAATCTGCTGGCCCCAGCCCATAAATTTTAACTCTAACAGTGATAGCCATTGATGATGTGAGTCAGCATTTCTGTATCTGACATTTGGGAATGGAAGATAAAAACAAGAAGCTATTATTATGGAGGATGGTGTCTTTGGGTTGGACCCTTAGACAAAAATTTAAGTGTAAGTAGTTTTATTTGCAAGGTGAGCTCAGGAAATGTGAGGAAGGGGCAATGGTTAAATTTTATGCTCCAGCTTGACTGGGCTAAAGCTGGCCTGGATACCCAGCAAGACTTCTTTGTTAGTCATCATGTTCTCAGGGTTGGGATCAAACTCAAGGTCTTGGGCATCATGTGTGAGCATTTTTCCCTTGAGCTACAGCCTCTGCTCGAAGCATTACCGTATTGTGTTTTCAGCTCATCTGTGCATGGCTCTCTGGGAGAGGCTGGCATTTGAATCAGTAAGTTAGAGCTTGACTGAGTAAAGGTGATCACATCACCACCCCGAGTGGGATCCAGAGTAGAGCTAAAGGGTGGAGGAAAAGTAAGTTTGTTTTGTTTGAGTCAGCACGTCAGCCTTCTGCACTCAGACTCGCTGCTCCTGCTTCCTAGACTTTAGACTTGGGTTGGGACTTACACCAGCATGCTTCCCCATACCCTGTCAGGACTGAAGACAAGAACTATGGTCTCAGCTGAGACCGTATTCCTACCTTTGATAAAACTTTGCTGCCGTTTGTACTTCTCTTGACTAGTTCTTTGCTATGGTCTCAGCTGCTCTAGTGATTCACTAGCTTGCAGAGGGCAGATATGGGACTTCCTGGTTTCCAAATCACAAGCAATAATTGATCTTTCCATCTGCTTCTTCTAGTGGTTCTATTTCTTAGGAGACCCATAGTGAAGAAGGGGAGCAAGCAGTGAACACACTGGAAGTGGATAAGTGGACAAATTACCTTCAAGGGTTCCAGGGCTCAGGACCCCACTGGGACATACCTGGGTTGTCTCACCCTGAAGACAGGCATGCTTTTGAGGTACTGACCATTCACCCCTGTCCGTGCTGACAGTGCTGGCTGCTCTGGACTTCTTCACAAGCTTCTTCAACTCAAGGGGTCCCTGATGCAGGTGCTATGAGTGCCTGCAGTGAGATGCTCTTGACCTGTGCGATGGCAACAAAGCTGAGGGGTACAAGCAGGGAGGCGCGTTTGCTGCAGTTGAGCTTCTAGCCCCCTTCTGGAGGTGGTTTCCAGGTTCCTCCTGTCCTGAGCAAAGAATTGGTCAAGACAAGTACAAATGGCAGCAAAGTCTTATCAAAGGTAGGAAAATAAGCAGGAAGAACAGGTTTGATCAAGTAAAAAGGTGGGATAAGAAGTATATCTTACAGCAAGAAGGTGGGCCACCCTGCGAGTGAGATGGAGAGAAAACTTCATGTGGGTTGTGCGTTTTGTGTCACCTACTCCTCGGTCTGCTGTCAGGTCTGGGCCATCCTGTTGAAACCTGCTTGGGTTCTTTCAGAAAGTCCTGTGCAGGGCTTTGGGAGCGTTCTGTGCATGGGTCTTGCATTTTATAGTCAACAGGTCACACCTGTGTCACTAGTGACCTTTGTCACACCCAAACCTCATGTCTCCTGGCATGGAGAATGTCTAGAATACGGAAAACGAGCAAGCAAATAGAGGAACCAGAAAGTGCACGGGAGGCTTTCCTCAGAGTGGCCAGAGGCTTGCTCCTACATAAATGAAGGATCTGGATGTTGATTTTTAGGGTAGTGAAGAGTTGGTGAGGAAAGAACCAAACCAAAGCAAACCATTTGATTCTGTGGACCTGGTGGTTTCTCACTGGGATTAGCCTGGTTGTAGTAAAATATATGAAGTGATGTAGAGGTCAAAGATCTGCCCATTTCATTTTTGTTCTTGGTTTGTAACAGATATGATTAATTTGAATAATAGATCACACTATCTTCAAACGAGGTATAAAACTTTAATTGTGAAGAATGTGTAGAAATTGGAATAGATAAAGCTTCCAAGAAATTAGCACATTAACACTTCTATCCTGAACACTGGTAGAGCTTTGATTATTTAACACATAAATAATGCAACTGTCTAAGGCTTGGAGAAACCAATAATAAGTGATTTTAAGGAGCCAAAATGTTTCCCCCTGGGTCAATTTACCATGACCGACTTTATTTTGTAACTGTCAGACATACCTGTTGTTATGGTAAGTATTTATCAGAAAAGAGAAGTTAGTGAGTCTATGGGTATAAAGAGACAAAGTAGAGTTTTTGAAAAGTAACTCATTTTATTTATGAAATTAGGTTTTAAAAATTATTTATCAGGGCCTGGATTGTTGGTGTGTCATAGTATTTACTAGTGGAAGACAAATCAGGCATTTTAACTGATGCATTCTTGATTTTTGAAAAGTTGCAGTGGTATTTCAATGTGAACACTATTATTTTGGGGGAGATGTCATTGCAGTGACAGTATGATTTTCACTACTTAGGGTAAAGCAATGGCATTTTTAACGTCAAAAATCTGCGTACGGCTTTTGAAAAGAGTCAATCCGCATGATGAAGTGCAGAAGTGCCATTAAAATTGTGTGAGCCTGCTAAAGTTGATTCTTTTACACTGTTGAGCCTTCCAGTAAAAATCTACAAAGTGTTAGAAAATATAATCTACACAGAATAGGTAAAAGAGCAGACACTATTTGGTCTCAGCACTAAAGGTCATTTTCATAATTATCTTCAAGTTATTTGTGAAGCAAATTTATTGCGTTCCACATCTGTACCTTCAGTAAGGAAAAATGAAAGAAAAAATAAGTTGAAATTGTGGTATAATAAATTTAGTTAAGTTGTAAGAAAAAAAATTTGGAAGAGATACTAAGGAACTTAAAAATTATAATTCACCTAGGGAAGTTTTGGCTCTTCTTTAGAGGAATTTAAAATAGAGGAGAGAATATATTTGAGACTACTTTTTTTTTTTTTTTTTTTTAAGAGAACAATTTGTTATAATGAGCCAGAAATATAAGATTCCACTGAAATTCCAACTGACAGATTATGGTTGAACTCAAATCTTTAAGGGAAAGCAGGTCAAATAAAGCCAGGAGAGAAGCCCAAACAAACATAAGGATAACGGATTTCAACACTGAGTAGCTCTAGAACCCTCTACCCTTCAGCAGTTTGTCTGTCTTCACTCTCCTATTTCCTTTTCCTTCTACTGCATCTACCAAACCAACTGGCTTCTGCTTCTATGGTCTAGGCAGAAGCCAATTCAACCTCTTTGGACATGATACAAAGCCCAAGAAAGCTTTAAAATCTCAGTTGGGGTACAAAGTACACAACTCAACTCAGCACACGGGTTATCATCTCTGTGGTATCAATAAACATGGTAGTAATTTTAAAGCAACTAAAAGTGCTACTCATAATGTGGCCCTGTAGCAAAAGCAGTGCTCCTACATTGGTAACACAGCAGAATGCATTTTTCACCAGTATCTTCTCTTTTTTTTAACCAGGAATCAAACTCAGAACCTCATGTTTGCAGGCAGGCACCATGCCTTTGTGCTATTCCCCCTGGCCCTGCTGAATGCATTTTTGAGCTCCACATCTTCCTGACACTAAGAGCCAAGTAAAGAGGATGTACAACAGAATTCCAACTCAGAAACCAAGGCATTGGGCAGGAACACTGGCTCTTTTTGGGACCTTCTGGTGGGGGCATAGAGACAAACACAAGGAACATTAGAATGTCAGAGGGTATGGCAGGCAAGAGAAAGCATAGGTAGGGTAAGTGTTCTACCCACAAAGCCAACACATTCATGTTCAAAGTGAAGTCTGAGTGAAGGGAATAAACAACAAAAAACATTCAACCAAACCAAAGGGAAAGGGGTTTTCATACAACACAGTATCAAAAGTAAAAGGAACACACAAAATGCACAAACTGGTGGCAGGTAACTCCACAGCCTGTTATGATAGGTCCTTCTTCCATCAACCAGGTTTCTTCTCTGTCATCCCAAGGTTATTTACAGATGTGGCAACTTTAACAAGAGTCTCTCACAGATGGGCAGGCAGGCAGGCAGGTTTCAATCATTGGTTTCAGGATCTGTCTGTGCCATGTAGGCATCCAACTCAGCATCCAGGTGTCCTTTAGTTTTCGACATGTAGGCATCCAACTGGTTGTCCAGCTGCTCCTTGGTCAACACAGGGAGAGTAAGGGCACCTCTCCCCCGTCCACGTCCTCGTCCACGTCCTCCAAAGCCCCCTCTTCCCCGACCTATCATACCCCGACCTCTACCACCGATTCCGCCACGACCCATAGCTCCACGCCCTAGGCCCCCTCTCCCAGGACCTCCACGACCTCGAACACCACCTCTTCTTAAGCCCATTCGGGGAGCTATGGCTCGTCCACCTCGAAGCAGGTTTTGACCTCGGAGCGACATCCCGCCCCTAAGCAGGGTCCTGGTGGCACGTCCCCCACGCAGTCCTCCTCTGGGCAAGCCTCTCTGGAC